ACAACAAAAAACCCCCAAAAACAACAACCAACAACCACAACAAAACAAACCCAAACAAAACAAAAAACAAAACAAACAAAAAACAACTGAAGATCCACTCACCCGCCTTGCAGGGATCGATGTACAAATCGTTGGAAGTCCTGTGCGGTACCTTGTCCATCAGCATCGCCAGGGCAGCAGACACACTGCACAGTAGGAGTCCTAGTCCCCACATCACAGGGGCGCCACCTCCGTGAACGCCGCCCGCGGCTGACCTCGTCCACACCATTACTCCAGGTGGTGAAGGATCGTTCCACGTGCAGAAAGAAGGAAGGTACTAGGTGGAAGGTTCGAACTCAAGCCGCCTAGCACTCACTCAGATGTGGGTTGTTCCTTCCTCCTCTAACCAGACCGCAACACAATTCTTCAAGACAAATTATTATCATCATCATTACTATTGTCGCTATTACTATTATTGCTATTACTATTATTATTATTATTATTATTATTATTATTATTATTATTAATAATAATATTCTATAGCTTTTCTGATAACTCACAGACGCGATTCTTTCAGCAGTTACTTCGTTCTGGTCGAACATTTATTTTATCTGATGTTCTGCTGTGACGAGCACGGGGATTTTTATCATTCCTGACGACGATAGGAAGTGCACTTAATGCTAGCTCAGCACGACGCTACGGCTCTCCTTAATCGATAGCAGACATAGAGATTGGCTGATCGATCCCAGCATTAATTGTTCTGAGCATTCACTTGTTTTATTTTAAGACGCGCGCGTCTCTCCGGCCGCGGGTAGCGGGGGGTTCTCCTGTGAGTTTAATAATAGATACAAATGAGTTTAAGTTTAACTTTCGCGGCTGTGTTATAGGCTGCGTTTTTTTTCTCCCTGGAGGTAAGGCTGAATAAATATTTGTCTCCAGGGGGCGAAAAAGGGAAGCAATACGCTGCCCTCGTAATTTTAAAGATTTATGGACTCAGCAGCGGAAACTTTGAACTTTCGTTGCTCTCTAAGTAGACAGGGATATTGACCATGAAACACGTTTATTATGCTAGATCTACTTTTTCTCCAGCTTTCTTCTGCTTCATATCCCCATAGCGTCGAAGTGGACGAGGGTATTGAAACTCGTTCATCATGCTACTTTCACTCCCTGGATTTCCTACTGGTACATTCTCTCATCGTTTCAGAGAAGAATAAAGAATAACACGAGATTAGCATTGCGGTAAGAAAGAAAACGATTTAGATGTTTATATGTCTGCTGACTCGGTAAACGGCTGTTGATAAATTGAACAGGTCGGTGCAAGTTTACTCACCAACTGTCAGTGTCTGTGTCTAAAAGTCCATGCTGCAGTGGGTGTACTGTACACGCCAACGCAAACACGGGGCGAGATAACATCATACAACTGACGACACACACAGCGAGATACCCTTGACTGCCTGCCCACTTACTCACACGCACATGTACACACACGTCCACAGACACACAGTTGACACAGCACACGACGCCTCCGAGACACTTCAAGACATATACACGCTCGCTTAAACACCTCCGTGTGTACACACATGAAGACAAGAACCATGCACGGCTAATCGAGCATTAACTCTCACACACGTAGTATAATGACACACAACGCCGTCCCGACACCAGCACACAGCCCGGTCGCGCACATAACAATTAATACAATTTCCCCTTCCCTTTCACCTTTTCTTCCTCTTTTTTCTTTCTCTCTCTTTTTCTTCCTCTTTGTCTCTTCGTCTCTCTCTCTCTCTCTCTCTCTCTCTCTCTCTCTCTCTCTCTCTCTCTCTCTCCCTCTCTCTCTCTCTGCCTTACCCGGT